TTAAAATATTACTGCCTCGAGCCTCGCAAGCATCCATCACCCCTGTCATGCATCTAGCTACTATTTCTTCACAACTCATTAATACCGCTTACTACTCCCACCCCTTTCACTCCCGTCATCTTACCTTTCTATCACACTCATTTTTGCCTTCTCTTGGCCCCCATCTTACATCATTCTTCTTTCTCTTTTATTTCATTCCACCTACTCTCTTTTCTTTCTCTTTATCGCTATCTCACACCCACTTACTTTTTTCTACTTTTTATTTCTGTCACTCTCCCACAATTTCTTTCTCTCTCTCCTTCATTTTTAATCCGTATTTTTCTATCGCTCTTTTTCATTTCATCCTCTAGCAAGTTCTATATGACTCTCTTTTTTTTTTTTCTATTCAGGTCCATTATAAATATCTGTCTTTCATTCTAGAAACTCATTTTTTTTGTTAGATTCACAGCCTTATCAAATCTAATGAACAGATCCTCATCCCCTGATTGTCATAATCAACCTACAAAATATTAGGCTTATTACAGTACCTGTTTTTTTTTTTTAGATATCTGAAATATGTACTGTGACACATGTTAAATACAGGTTACATTTAGATGAGATGTATTCAGGGCCGGCGCTACCTGTAAGGCGGACTAGGCAGCCGCCTAGGGCGCCCCTTGGGAGGGGGCGCCGCCAGGAGCGCCGGCCCCGCTCATGCTGCAGCCGCCCGAGCGCTCTGTGAAGAGCCTCGGGCGGCTGCAGCTTTGCCCGGGCGGTGCGTCCATGAGGGCGGACCGCACCGCCCGGGCGCAGCCTGAGGAGAGGGCTGACAGGAGGGAAGCGCTCAGCGCTCCCACCTGTCAGCTCCCTCTCTGTAGCGTGGCCGAGCCCTCTATGGCATGGTCCGACCGGTACAGAGAGCAGCTGTCTCCTGTACCCGGCCGGACTAACAGGAAGTGAACACTGAGTGTTCACTTCCTGTTAGTCCGCCGGGTACAGGAAACAACAGCTCCCTGTACCGGTCGGACTATACTGGGCTCGGCCACACTACCACACAGGTAGGGGAGGGAGGGGGAAGAAAGAGGGAGGAAGGGGGAGAACAAAAAAAAAGAGAGGGAGGGGGAGAAGAAAGAAACAGGGAGGGAGGGAGGAGAAGAAAAAAAAAGAGAGGGAGGGGAGGAAAGAGGAGGAAGGGGAGAAGAAAAAGAGGGAGGGAGGGGGGAGAAGAAAAAGAGAGGAGGGAGGGGGAGAAGAAAAAGAGAGGGGAGGAGGGGAGAAGAAAAAAAGAGGGGGAGGAGAAGAAAAAGAGGGAGGGAGGGGAAGAAACAGGGAGGGAGGGGGAAGAAAGAGGGAGTGAGGGGGAGAAGGAAACAGGGAGGGAGGGGGAGAAGGAAACAGGGAAGGAGGGAGGGGGGAGAAGGAAACGGAGGGAGGGGGAAGAAAGAAACGGAGGGAGGGGGAAAAAGAGGGAGGGAGGGGGGAGAAGGAAACAGGGAGGGAGGGGGAGAAGGAAACAGGGAAGGAGGGGGAAGAAAGAAACAGGGAGGGGGAAGAAAGAAACAGGGGAGGGGAGGGGGGAAGAAAGAAACTGACAGGGGAGGGGGGAGAAAGAAACTAACAGGGAGGTGGGGGGGAAAGAAACTAACGGGGGGGAGACATTGACAGGGAGGGGAATTGACGGGGAGAGAGAAATTGACAGGGAGGGGGGAGAGATTGACATCCATCACACACACACACACACAATCACACACAATGCACCCCTTACACACAAAGACAATGAACCCCTTGCACACAGAAAAACACACAATGCATTACACACACAATGCATTACACACACACACGCAATGCAACCCTTACACACAATGCATCCCTTGCACACACAGAAACACACAATGCATTCCCTACACACACTCAATGCACCCCTTACAGACTCACACACTTCATCCCTTACATACACAGAAACACACCTTGCAGCCCTTACACATACAAACACAGATTCACAAAATGCATTCCTTACACACAAATCAGGACATTCCCTACACACCCCATCCCCTGTGAACAAACTCATTGGTGGAAAATGAAGGTGGACCCTGGGACCCAGACCTTGAGCTGTGTAAAGGGCCCCCAAAAAATGGAGCTGCTTCTCGCTCTCCCAGAACATTGATTTGTGTGACCACAGTTACAAACAGCCTCCAGAGATCCTGTTATACACCAGACCAGTGGAGCCAGACTGCAGCTAGAGCCCATCATCATCCTCATCTGCTTGTAAGTAGGTAATCTAGTATATTATTCGTGGCACTAATCTCTAATTTACCTCACATTAAAGAAACACTATAGTCCCCAGAACCACTGCACCTAATAATGAGTGGTCCTGGTGTCTATAGCCGGTCCCTGCAGGCCTTTTAATGTAAACACAGCGGCACTGCAGCACTGGCGTTAGTTAACATGGCAGGTCATATGGGTGGGGCATTGCGATGTCACGGGGGGGAGGAGGGGGGCGTCAAACTTTACTTTTGCCTAGGGCGGCAAAAATCCTTGCACCGGCCCTGGATGTATTAGATATAATCCGACATTTTTTTGTTTCTCAATCTGCTTTCTGTATGTTATAGTACATATGTACTATCTAATATTGTATGTACTATTTAATATTTTCTCCCTCTGTCCCCAGTATCTAGTTTATTTTTTTTAATTATTATTATTATTTGCTAAACATCAATGGAGGTGTTACGGGTTTTAGCTGCGTTATTTATGGTTTTCTTTTCTTTCGCTCATCTAAGTGTTGGTGTTATCGTGTTCCTATTTTTGAGCTCTTTGGTCCTTCATTCTCTTAAAGAAAGCAACAAAAAGGTGTCATATCGTGTTTCTTTCTGGTAAGTGGAGTAGGTCAAATAAAAAAAGTAAAAATTTTTTTTAACAAAAGTAGAAAAAAATTATCTCTGAATCTTTTTGCGTAGATTATTTGCGTAGCGTATCATCAAAACTGGAGGTAAATGATCTAACTTTACAAATGAGTAAGTACACATTTAAGAGACTCGGGTGCACCCACTCACCTCTCTCACACTGTGGTATTGCTGTTAGCTATGGCGGTAGGCAAACGAAAATGTCACTTTCAGTACTGCTGGTGTCCTCATTAATAGTTTGCTTTTTGCTTGGGTTGCAATTATATATCAGATGTGTATAACTGTTATGGCATCAGCAGTGAAACTATACTTGGATACTTTGAATAGACTCTGTTACCACAAGTCAAGACCTTTGTCCTACGGCCAGTCATGAAAGATAGTCTAAATTCAAAGCAGTCTTCATCTCCACCCCAGGGTGAGATTATTTTCTTAGAGTGTATGTTAAATTGAGTTTGTTATGGCTTTGTTATCAGTAAATGTAAACTTAAACCTTTCACTGTTTGCTCTTTTTGTTTCTCTGACAATATAGATCATTCTGAAATTTTGAGAATATGCAGATATTTTTTATTAAAATGTTAAAGACTACATTACCTCAGGAAAGAAGAACGTAGTAGCACATTCTTTATATGTAATTACTTTTTTATAAAGAATCATGCTTTCACAAAATTACTCATTCTTTTATGGCCACCAAGGTACGTCACCTTCCTGCAAGGAGAGGAATGACTTCATCTGAGATAATCATGTAAATTATATAATGCATTCAACATACAGATAAGATGGATTTGTATAATTTGAATCATTCTTTCAGTCTAATCATAGCATATCTGTTTCTCCAATAAGGCATGCTCAATATTTGAGTGGAACACCAAAAAAAAAAAAAAAACCATTAGCAGAAAGAAAAGAAGTTGCTGTAGATAAGAATTTGCCGTGTTGTGTGGGCAAGTACAGGCAGGTGTGCACTACCCTTGTGCTAGACACCATCCAAGAAAATAAAAGAAACAAATGCAGTAGCTTGCCAAATCACATTGATAAATATGAAAGTGATCCAAGAAAGCTTGGTCTCCAGGAGGGACCAATAAGGATTCGATTACGGGTATTTAAACTAGGGTTGTCAGTGGGTGTTTTATATGGAAGGTTGTTTACCATAGCACGTCATGCAATCACAAAAAATCCCCCAAGTAAGTCAGTGGTTCAACAAAACGCGTAGGGCATGTGAAGATTGGCATGATATTCATGCTCAGTGACGTTTGTGGTATGCTTTGACATTGCATTTTAAAATTACATGCAAAATATGTATCGTGAACTATTGCATTATTTCGGATTGTATATGTACCGTACTCTTTTAGGATTGGTTGCATCTCTATTTTTCAACACATTTGCTGCACATGTATATAGAACTATGGGAAAAGTCCCAAGAGAATGTTGTCTAGTTTGCCCTGAGTATATTTTAGTTTTAATACTGGGTGAGTGAGATTATTTCCACTGCACTGGCATATCGTATTGCACTTGCTAATTGGCCTCTTCCAAAGAACTAAAAGAAACAGATGCAGTATTTTGACACATGACCTACATTGTCTCTGTGTCCAATGACCTACTTCTTTTGCAAGTTAATATTTAAGGTGTCTGTTATATAAATGTGACATGTATACTAGCAGTGAATTATAGGTCCATAATGGTCTATTTGGAAATAACATATAATCATTTTATCATGTTGTCAAATTGTTACCAGTTTTATAAGAGTCAGGGATTGTGATAGGACTTTTTCCATGACCATCATAATGGTTGGGTTCACAGTATTCTTTCTCCAGACATCAACGAGCATCCAAGTTTCTCTACTGCCTTACTCACATCCACCTATTGACTGCCACCTTTCACCCATCTCTAACTTCTTGTCTGGCCTTCCACATCCATATTGTATTTTATATACTCAGTTTAATAATTTAAGTAGGTGGACATCTGCCTCTGGATTATTGCCTGAAGTAAACCTCAAGCCCCACACAACAGAAACTATTGTGAAAGGTCAGTGATTAGCGTGCCTTCTGCAGGCAGTATCTTAGATTTGAGGGTTTGATACTCAGCAAGTTCAACTTAATCTTTCAACCTGATGTTGATTAAATTAGTAGTGTTCAGTTGGGTAATAAATGTATATAAATTCCACAACATATTTAAAAAATGTACTCTTCATGGTTCAGAAAGTTTTGTGTCAATGCTATTATACCATTAATTAAATTGATGTCAGACGGGGTATACAAAAGGTCAGTTGTGTTTTGAGCAACTTTTTAACAAGGCAACTACTTGCTTTTAGCTAGTAACATGAACATTAACCTTCCTTATAGAGGATATATCTATGTCATATTTTTATACTTTTTCTTGTGAATTTTCTTGGATATCTTAAAAAGCATTAGGACTTCATGGAAAAAACAACACTAAACCGTAAAAATAATGTTAGTGTTATTGTATATAATTTGGCAGCATTGCGGACTATAAGTAAACAATGTTTGCAGTGGGTATTTCCTCTGATTTGTACTTTGTCCACTTTATCGAATAACCCAGCATCCTGTTTGCCCTGTATTTCACTTCTAACTATATAAATCCCCCGACTTGTTTTCTAGAAACACTTGTGCTTCCTTTCATGCAAAATAAATATGTGCTTAAAATATACAGTCGAAATCAGAGCAAATGTGAAAATAAAATAACTTTTTTTTTTAATACATTATAAGCATGCGGCATTAAAACAAGACTATATTTTTTCTTTACAGCATGAAGTCTATTTCTGTACTATGGTATGGCATAATGTTGGAACCATATAGGATTCTGGGATCCATTTTTTTAAACTGGCATTCTATGGAGTGGAAACAAAAACTTTGTTTTTATCATCAAACATCTGTATGACAGGTCATTAAATATTTTCATATCACCACACACAGGTTAACTAATGTATATCAGAAATATTATATATATAAAAAACTCAGCAAAGCTACAAAATGAGTAATCATCAGCATTGTATGGAAATAATCTATAGATGAAACATAAATTAATATTACACATGTTTTAAAAGCAAGCTGAAACTGTAATAATTCCCTGCTTAATAAAAGAGACATTGGAGGTGTAAAAATGGTCTCATTCGTACTCCTATTTGCAAAAGGTTTGTGCTCACTCGCATTTTCTGTTACTTCATACTTTAAACATTGGTGACTTTATTTCTACCATTTCTACCATATTTCACTAATTTTGTCAGAAAAAGATTTTCGAAAAAGAAAAGATGCACTTTTGCACCTCTTTCTTATATGCAGGAAACAACTAATTTGTGAACGAAAATAAAAAAAGAAGTGTCAGATAAAACAGCCCAAAAAGTGAACACAACACATTGCTCAATCCCCATTGAGATGACCCTCATCTACACCAACTCTCCCCTTATGGGAGTGTGGCGAGTGTCTCTTCCACAATTTTAACTATTATTGAGAAACATATTAGTTCTTGTATAATTACAAACAGATTTCTCAATAGTGTGCAAAGCTAAGAACATTTTGACACATTGAATTTCCCATGATGCTGAGCAAGCACTGGTAAAGGAGCATGGAAGATTTAACAGCAGTTGTAGATGATACTATTAGTGTTTCTTTCATTTTCAACATACACGGCAGGTGCATCAAAAATTTGTAGTTTATTTATTTTTTACAGAAGCAGGGTGGAAAGAAAAGGAAAGACGTATCAAGACTAAACCAAATGCTAATCTGGGGCAAAGCGCTAAGTATGAAGTAATCACCATGGAAACCAATAGAATGCATCTGTTTAGCCTTGATAACTTTCTCCTATAGGCTCTAAACATATCCATGTAGACATTAGATACAGCTAAAATATAAATTATATGAATTTTGAGCTCTTAATCGACAAGGTTAGCTTTTAAAGTATATAGGTAAACTGGCCAAATATGTGGCCAATTTCTATCTTCTTTTAATTTATTTACACTTTTTCTGTATTAAATCCAGGTTTTTTAACAAAGACTGAATTAATCCTTTTTTTTTTTATTTTATTGCGTTAAAATTCATACATACTAACAATGCTAGGGCATCTTCCATTAGATATGGCACTTCACAGCTCAGAGATGAACACATTGAAATCTGATTAAACTGAGCTGTATTAGCAAAGTGATGTAGATGTAAAAAACAGATCAAATTTGTATCTTGTAATACCTTTTTATTGGACTAAGATTTTTTTAATGACAAGCTTTCGGGAGAACCTCCCTTTCTCAAGTCTAAAGCATTTCTGAACAAGACGACACATAGAATTCAAAGTTGAGTTGTTATACAGGGGTTAAGTGACATGAGTTCAGATAATACACAGGTTTGATGGAAAATAGACACCATTCTCAAAGATGGTCGTAAACATCTTGGGTGAAGATCGCAGAGTGAGGGGGGAGAGGGAGAAAAAAACAAGCAGACAGTGCAGAAGATGGTGCTAGAAGGGGAGAATAAAAACAAAATAATTACTTACATTAAGAATGCATGAATTCCCAAGAGTTATAGGATATGCATACACAGACACCCACACCCACTCACACAAGTATACACAAGTAGTGTATATGTACAAGTATACACAAGTACATACATAATATACACAAGTACATACAACAATATACATATAAATACAACCAAATGCACAAATATATGTACATGCAAATCTATAATGTGTCTTAAATCTGTGTCTTATCTGCACTCATGTCGCTTTAACCCCTGTATCCAGTGGCGTACACATGACCCATGGGGCCCCAGTGCGAAAATTGATCCATGCCCCCCTGCCCCGCGCGCACGCGCGCACGCGGGCCAGGGCCGCCACACATGGTGGCGGGCACCTGGTCACAGGGTTTGCAGGGCTGCGACCCCTGAGACCGCGGTATGTACACCAGTGCATGCATGCACACACTTAAAGGACCACTACAGACACCCAGATCACATCAGCTCAATGAAGTGGTCTAAGTGCCAGGTCCCTCTAGTTCTAACCTTGCAGCTGAAAACATAGCAGTTTCAGAGAAACTGCTATGTTTCACTGAGGGTTAATTCAGCCCCTAGTGGCTGTCTCATTCACAGCCGCTAGAGGAGCTTCCGCGATTCTTACTGTGAAAATCACAGTGAGAAGACACTGAACGTCCATAGGAAAGTGTTGAGTAATGCTTTCATATGGGCGGTTTGAATGCTCTTGCCGCGCATGCGCATTCGGAGCTGAGAGGCCGATGGATCCCCAGCGCCAAGGGAGTCCGGCGCTGGAGAAAGGTAAGTGCTGAAGACACACACACACACTGTCACGAACAGACGCATACACACTAGCTAACAGACACACACATTTACTGACAGAGACACACTCAGCAACAGACATACATACACACTCACTTACAAAACATACACTCTCAGGAGAAGAGGCTGGCCACAGTGGCATACATACCGGGTCGCAGGGAGTCTGGGCCCCCTGGTCGGCTGGGCCCGGTCGCAGCCGCGACCCCGGTATGTAAGCCCCTGCCTGTATCACAACTCAACTTTGAATTCTATGTGTCGTCTTTACTCAGAAATGCTTCAGACTTGAGAAAGGGAGGTTCTCCCGAAAGCTTGTCATTAAAAAATTATGTTAGTCCAATAAAAAAAAATATTACAAGATACAAGCTTTATCTGTTTTTTACATCTACGTCACTGGACTAATACGGCTACAATCTCTGCTTAGCTAAGTGACAGAGACTGGCCAGATTGGAGTAACGAATAATAGGGGAATAAAGGAACACATAAATAGGTATTTATTTAGGAATTTTAATGAAAATGGTGATGGAAATTCTCACTGCGTGTACAAATTTAATTTTGTTCCAATGTTAGGGGACAAAGCAGAACGACCAGTAGAAGTTATAGATACCAATGGAGCAGGTGATGAGAATTGCGTTAAGAGGGATGTTATTTTGCCTTTCTTTTATGTTAAACTTAATTTTACCATCATTATTATACACCCAAATACACTCACTTGCAAAATCAAAAAGTAAAAGATTCCAATACATTAATATAAATTACGCTGGATATTTTGATTGAAAGCCTGTACCTTCAGTCCATGTGATTAGTTATTTGATATGATAATATTTATTCACTTAACCGGTTAACTGTTGTGAATTGACAAAGTAATTCCAAATTTAAGTCAAAATAGAGATACAAGAAAAATCGTGCAACTGAGTTACAATACCAGTTTGGCACTTTTTGATATTCTTTTTTTTTTTTTATCAATTCTTACTATCTATAATTCCTTACTACATACCCTGTACAATTCCTTACTACATACCCTGTTCAGGTAAGCTATTATATATATATATATATGATTTTGTTTGTTTCCTCCTGTAAAATTGCTTACTTATTAGTCAAATGCTGTATAATAAACCATAAGCACCATAAAAACTATTTTGATGTGGTGCACAATCAATTTGAAGTCAATTAGCTAAATTGAACGAAATTTTCCAGTGACACCAATATGTAAACCCCAACTTGTTGAAAAATCACATCCTTAAAACTGACAAAGCATCATGGGAAATATAGTTTTAAAAAACCTGGTGATCTATCTTTGGCCACCTCGGCTGTAATCTATAATATGAGAACACCTGTAGATGATGTATACACAAATAAGCATTAATCTTGAATAGAGCGGAACTGCAATCAAATATGAGTAAAATATTCTTAGATAAAAACATGTATCCCTTTATGTATAGCAAGCAACTAGCTTTACGTATGTTTTAATTGATTTCAAAATTTTATGAGAGTATCACATGGTAGAATTCAGGGATAATTAGTAAAATACAGTATATTTGACAGTCTAGTTTCTAGAATTCACAATGTATTTTGGAATCCTATTTGGAGAATTGGATGGTATTTTTAAAAGATAGGTTTTTTTTTAAACCACTGTCCTTAGTTGCTTGGAAATAGTATTAAATTGTCATATCTCAAATGACCGGAGTTTGAATGTTGCTATATTAGATATTTGGAAGCTATTGTATTTTGTAGCAAAGTATGCGGAGTGATTGCTGCACAAGTAGTCATTGCTCAAAATGTATTCAAATAAAAGTTCTGCTACCGTTACATTTTAGTACTTAAAAAAAAAGACAAAAATACATTCCAGTTATATATACTAAACAGAAATATATGATATGATTCATTTTTTTACCTTTTGTATTAATAAATAAAATCCAGGATTATAGTAGAGATGAACAAAATGTAAATGCTGCTTTGAAATTCAGATTAATTAATCTGTTCTATTGTAGAAATCTATTTAACTCAGAGAAAATACATAGTATGTTTCACCTTGCTTTTGGATTGCTTGAAACCTTACATG